AGTAGTAGTAGTATTGGTGGTAGTAGTAGTAGTAGTAGTAGTAGTAGTAGTAGTAGTAGTAGTATTGGTAGTGGTGGTGGTGGTAATAGTAGTAGTATTATAGTAGTAGTAGTAGTAGTAGTATAGCACGTTATGCCGGAAGACCCTTTAAACGAGAGATAGATACGTGGGTTGAGGTAGAGAGACCCGGTCGCGAGAAAGGGATGAAGGGGATGAAGCGAGTGAGTGTGTGTGAGAGAGGAGAAGAGCGTGCGCGAAATTCGATACACACACACACACACTGTCGGCCGAAGTCTGCACTACCTAGCTGCAGCAGTTACTCTATATGGAATTCCAAATCGATTTCGATTTGTTTCTCCTTGTTGTTATTATTATTATTATTATTAGAGTCTAGTTTTGAGCGTTTTTCGTCTTTATTATATCAACGGTATATTTTTTTTTCTATCCAGAACACACCCTGCACACACACACACACCCACACGCGCACACACCGAGTTTATTATTATGACGATATCCTACGAACAGCCACGTCGGAGGTGGTGTAGTGCAGGTCGGATACGATAAGTCGTCACAGCAGCAGCAGCAGCAGCAGTCGTACAAATCAGTTCCGATACATTTGGCCCGGTCGGGAAACGGAGCAAATTTACTGCTAATGCTCCTTTCAACGTACCTACCCCGTTCGTGAACGCGCACACAGTGGATGATATGTGTGTGCTGTACATGTACATTTCGTTTGGTTTTACCCCTTTGGCGATTTTATGATCCCTCCTCCGCCGCCACCGCAGCTCTACCACCACCACCAGCCGCCGCCGCCGCCGCCGAATCCGAAATTCTCCCCGAAAGGTTATTGCACCCGAACACGCTCGCGCGAGCGCGCACGCGCTCCGACTGCCTGATCGGAATAGACCAGAAGGGTCCCGCCAGTACGGTGGTAATAACTTGAACCGTATAAATTATACCAGTCGATCTGAACGCACGTAGTTAATTTGATCGCAGTGTATAGGGATTTCGCGGACTTTGGAGATCTCCCCAAATCGGCCGCATCATATGCAGGATAAAAAAAAAATAAGTAAAAAAGTGTAAGGCTTTTTTTCGCCGTTTCTATACACTATCAATATTATTCAATTTCAGAGGCTGCCCACCGATATCGGTAAACAGTCGTCGTTGATAATTATTATTATTTTTTAACACTACATTGTATAGCCATAAAGGTGTATGTATACACTATAAGTATATTATAAATTGTACTCATATAAAATTACAATAATATCCGACGACTAAGTTTTATTTACGTATAAACGTCACGGTACAAGAAACTTAAATGCGAATGAACGTTCAAACATCTAAATAATATTCAAACGTATTCTGCACTTGGGTTATTATTATATTAGTATCTATGTATATCAAACACTAGTCTTTATTTCATATTTTATTATTGCTCATCGATTATTCAATAAACGACCATCATATCAACCACTATGAAATCGGAAAAATAGTTAATTTATAAAATAATTCCATCATATTAATATTATAACATACCAATATTGAAAAACATTTTGGCATCGTAGCTGAATTCCCAACACTCGTAACAAATTTTTTAATTTTCTAGGATACAAAATAATTATTATCTAGATTCACGAATTTTTAAATAATGCAAATTCATTTTAAAAACAAAGTTGTGACTAATATAATATATTTCAAAGATAATATTGTTCATATTTCAATTTTAAATACCAACTAGTAGTAATATTAAGTGTTTTATTTCCTTTTTTAATAAATATGGTAAATTACCAATAATTTGGAAGTATGATATTATTATTAATTTTTATAAGATTTAAAGTACCTATACGAAAAACCTCACAATAATTACATCAGAATTCAACCAAAGCTTCAAAGTCAAATGGGAATATCAATATTTTTGAAAGCCAAATAATAATATTACACTAACAATAAATGTATAACCATAATGTGTATAGTTCACATTAAAACTCGAATAATTGCACATAATAAAATTCTCAATCGTAAGACATATATATATCCTAATCGTTGTTAAATAAACGAAAAGTGCATTAACTTAATTATACATGCATAATACACATTATTATAATACAAATTTGGTTCTTGTAGAATATAATTGAGACATAAATATATTTTTATCGATTCGCATAAAAGAACATTATTTTTATTGTTTCATATAAATATATTATTATTTATTTGTGCAATATGCACTCAAATACTCAAAACTTGGGGGATATTATTCCCAAAGTCCCTATAGTAATAACGTATACAACGTATATACAGGGTGAAATAATTTAAGTTTGACTTTCTTTTGGCTTAAACGTTTTTATGGAAATAAATAACACCATGTAACCAACCCTATACCGGAGAAATTATTAACAACGTTTCTATAAAACCATAGAGTACTTTATAAAATAGCAGTACTTATAGTTATGGCGTAATCTCCACGAAAATGTATTAAAAGTCATTGTAAACAGAATACGATGGCGATATTAAATTTTCATTGTGTCAAATTTTTAATCTAAATATTTAAATAAACATAGTTTTAGTAATTATTAATCAATTCTATTTATAAATACAAGACGTACTTATCCTAAATAATTAAACCGGTAATTTTATAATAATTGAAGTATTGGAATAATTTACAATGATTGTATTGTTTATAAGTTATACAAAACACAAATATGAACAAAAAAATGTCTGCAGCTAGAATAATATAATATATAAATTATATATAAGTACCAAACTATACAAATTTGACTTAAATATAATTTATTTCTTATAACTCTTCCCCCGGAAAATAACATGAATTATAATGCAAGTATATTTCTTAAAATTATGAAAAATGTCTGTAAACATCTATCCATTTAAAACTTTCATTTCTCTATACTTATTTGCTTTATTACTTCCTTGGTGAAAACTTTTATAACTTTATATTTCAACGAACAAATTTTTAAAGTGAAACTGTTATTATTATTTAAATATACATTTTTTCGTGAACATCAAATTTTCTTTGTGCTTATTTACTGTAATATAAATGCAATTGTGAGTATGTTCTATGTAGTGGTATCAGCTAAATGTGCGGAAACGTAAAATTTTAGGTGTAGCCGGAGACAAGTGTTATAAATGTGTTTGCATTTTTGTAGTGAAAGTGAATAATATTATTAAACAAAGTTTTTTTTGGCACTGGAAATTGGATAAAATGGTGAAACTTCCTGCAAAGTGTTTACCCTTTACATCAGGTAAATCACGAACTACATCGAAACTAATGGGTTGTTCATCTCTCATAGGTAGG